CGGAGGTGCAGCGTTCCCCAGGACCCGCAGTATCGCTGCTAACAGGGCGCAGGCATTGCCATGATGTGCACAAGCTGTTCCTCGCTCCGCAGCCGCGGGGGCATCCGTCTGCTCTCCTGCCCGAGGGGATGGAGGGCTCCGGCCACCCCTGCCAAGCCCTCGGCAGGCTCAGTCCTGGGTCTCTGCTGGCACAAAGAGCTGTTCCCTTCCCTGTGGTTCAGTGAGCTCAGCTTGGACCCTCCGGGAGCTTAAACCCCAGGGGGAACAAGGGCTCATCCCGGCCGTCCCCTGGTCCTCACCTTCACCCCTGCTCTGTTTGAATGGGCTGAGGTTTGTCTGGGCAGCATCCGCCCCAGCCCTGCCTGTGGGCTGAATATGGAGCAAACCAGCCCCAGTAAGGAGCATCTGGGCTTTGGCACCCACAGACACCGTTGCGGGCAGGGGGGGGCACAGACCCTGGGCAGCTCCCCCAGGTTCCCTCCCATCTGTCCCCCATGTGCCTCAGTTTCCTGTGCTGCAGCGGGGTGGGTATCACAGGGCTGGTTTTAGGGGTGTCAGCTGCACCCAGGGGACACCCTGCACCATTTCCCACCCAGCCTGGTGAAGGGGCCGTGGTTTAATTCATGTCTGCACATTGCTTTGAGGGCGGCTGCTGCTGCCGAGTGCTGGCATCGCACAGGGACCACAGCCACAAATTGCCACCGTGCTCCCTGCCGTGGAGCTGAGCTCACCCGTGCTGGCACAGCTCCGGCGTGGGATGACTGAGCCGTGGCAAAGCCTTTATCTGCAGCTGGATTTCAGGGCTGGGTGGTTTAATAAGCACGGGGTGAAGCAGAACATGCCCGGTGCTGCTGGGGCAAAGGTGCGTGCCTGCTCTGGGGAGGCAGCACCCGGGACAGCCCCAGGCAGAGCGTGTCTGTGCGTGGATGGTGCAGGAGGGGTTTGGATGCTTCCCTCCCCTGGGTTCCCACCCTGAGCTGTGGTTCTGGGGCTCTCCCATCCTCCCTCCTGGAGGGGTGACGCTGCCTGCGGGTCCCCACCGGAGCTGGGGGCTCATTTGAGGCTGCCCCACTGCAGGCAGCTCAATGGATGGAGATGAAGCGAGCAGCGAGTGTCAGCATCCCTGTGCAAGGGATAGGGCTGAGCCATCCCTGTCTCCCAGCCCGGCATTGCAGCGCTTGGCTCCAGCCACCCTGAGTGATGGAGAAGCCACTGCCGGCGCTCACCGCAGTGGCTCATTGCCCTCACCATGCGCTGCCCACCTCCTGCCGGTGCGGTGCCAGTGTGATGGAGCAGCCGTTCCATGGTGCTTTGCCATCAGCATTATCTGGGGAGCAGAGGGGCCCAAGCTGCACGGAGCCAGCAGCAACCCACTCTGCATCACTCTGAGGTTCCTGACGTTCGGGTCACTTAATGGATTTGTCTCTTCCCCCTCCACGGCTGCCCAGGACCAGCTGTAAATCAGCCCCTGCTTTCCCCCATGGATCTTGAATACCAAATGCACTAAAGAGCTGTGGGGCAGCAGGGGGGGGTTCGGTGCTGGTGGCATCAGCACAATCCCAGGGATGGACCCGCTGCCGGCCGGGATCCCTGTGCACGGCCCTGCGGCTGCGCAAGGGTTTGTGCTCGGCGCGGAGGGACCCTCCGGGGCCCCTGTTTTTCCTGTTGCAGCTAAATTATAACCAGGCTTTGTGAGGAGGCAGCCGCGGCCTCTTCCATGGGGATTTCTTTTCCATGCTTCCCATCATTTCTAGGCTGATCCAATTGAAGCTAAAGGGTGTAAATTACACCTCCCTGCACCCAGCCTTGCCCCCACCCAACCCCTGAGCGTCTGGGGGCTGGGGATATGAGGGTTTGCAATAGGGTTGGTTTTGTTCTGTAAGGAAAACAACCCGAAAGAAGCAGGGAAACCCCTGGAAAGTGTTCTCCTTCCAATTACCAAGAAGGGGGAAGAAAAAGAAGTCATTACATGCAAAGCTGGTTCTGGGCTCTGTGTGGGCAGAGGCGTGTAGAGACTAAACCAGCATCGGGCTGGGACACAAACCCCCGCCGGGAGCTGGATGGATAGAGATCAGCCGGGCTCTTTCCTTGTGCTCTTCCCATTTCCCAGTGAATTCGATCCATGACCTCATGCAGCACCAGTAGAGCATGAGTTGTACTGGGTGGAGATGGGATGCACTGGACTGCACTGGGCAGAACTGGGCTGAGGAAAGGCATGTGGAGGAAGCAGCAGGACTCAGTGGTGCTGCTCGGTGCCCTCTTCATGCAGCCACACTGTGCTCAATGGCCATGGATGCACTGGTGCTGCATGCAGGAACCAGCACCCAAACCACAGCCACCCAAACTCGACAGGGCAGCACTATGGGCTTTGCATTGTTTCTCTTTCTGAGTCCACAAAATAACTATGGAATCGATTCGTCTCGAGGGATACGGTGAAGCTTGATTAATTTAGTAATGATGACTTCAAGGTATTTCCCTCCACAAGGGCCCGATCCTGACCCAAAGCCCTTTATGGGGTGCCATGGGGCAGGATGGCCCCTCGCTCCAGAGTGGGTGTCCCCATTCCCTGTGTGCAGCGTGCCTGGGGCCGAGCTCAGCACCATTCCCTGGAGCAGGGACCTTGGAAGCTGCTCTGCTTTCCCCATCTCTCTCAGTTGGTCTAATAGAAGGTGCTGCCTGTCTTGGCCAGCCTGGCCTGAGGTGCTTTAAGCAGGGCTGGAGCAGATCCCGCTATTGAACCCTTGAGCTGCTGATGGCTTTACTGTTAGGGTTGAATTTCTGAGTTGAGGCGTCTTTTCCTGTAATTTCGGCCAAAGTTGGTCAGCTATTTCCAAGAACAAGGCTTGGGGGAAAAAAAGAAGGGATGCGAGCCTGGCATGGAGTGGTTCAGTGTTAGGGAGGGGGAACCAGTTCCCTAACAGCTCCTGTACTGGTTTGGTGGTGGAGGATGTGTTCTAGGTCCTCCTCATACTGAGCAGTGGGCACCCCTCCATTGAGAACCATCCCTGTGGTGTTGTGGGGTGGAGGAGGCTCTCAGTAGGTCACTGGGAGCTGATCCAGGGTCAGATATCCTTTGGGATCCAACCAGGAGCAGTTGCAGTGTGGGTGAATGGGCTGGGTGAGCGTTCACCTTCCTGCTGGACCCACCCTATAGAAGCCTCCCCCAGCATCCCACTGGGTGCCACTGGTGGCCCAGTTCCAGACACATCAGTCCCTGGGACATCCCCGTTGCGGGTGGTGCTGGCTCTGGGCTGTGCTGAGCTGCAGTTTACCCCCTGAGACCTCTGGACGGGCTCTTTGGGGACTCCCTTCACCATTGCCCATCACAGGGGATGGCCACCCCTGGCCCTCTCGGTGTGCCTGGAAAGGCTTTTAGTGCTTTGGCTGGATAAATGAAAACAAATAAAGGTGACAGACAAGCAGACAGCTTTATGATAGCTTCCCTCTGACAGGGAGAAAGATTGGCTGTCGGTGGCTTGATAGAGAAATATCTTGATGGGAGTCGGATAAAGGGATGTGTAACCTTGGTGGTGGAGGATGAGGATTTGCTGCGTGCGAGGATGCCACGGCTGCGTTATTCCAAACTGATTCTGCCTTTATTTGTTTTTACTTTTGAGAAGGGGGGGGGAAGGAGCCCCACAGCCCATTGAGCTTTCCAAAATAGATCCACTAAATAAATAATGACAATGATCCATCTTTTATTTATATCCCACCTATCTCCATGCAGCACTTGGAGGTGTTTTACAACCTTCCTCTCCCTTTTAACGGCACCAAACTCACAACTAAAGGCGCATTAGGTGGAGGCAGCTTTACGGGGGCATTCGGATGCTGGAGCATAAAGACAGGCGCCGAGCTGGATGTGCGGGAGCGCCTCGGCTGCTGCTCCCGTGGATTCTAATGGGCACCTTGTGGCTGTCGTGAATCCGGTTGGATGCGTGTTTGCATCTGGATGCACGGCTTGGGGGGGTCCTCCATGGATTGAGCCCCTGGGGACTGGGGGGGGGGGTTTGGAGCCGCTCCAGTCCGCTCCTGGAGCAACAGGGATTCATCTGTTGAGCGCTCTGCGCCCGGGGGGCTGCGGGCTTCGGTGCCCCCCACCCGTTGCATGGCTCGCGGTGCCCGTGGCGGTGCCGGTGGCCGCGGCCCGCGGTGCCGCCCGTTGCCGTTATCCCCACATCAGCGTTTCCCGAGCGCTCTGCAAGGGAACGCGACGCCTCGATGCAAATTATTGGTTCATTTATTCCTGCATCGGAGGTGAATAAACGCAAACGGGGGGGGGGGGCTCCCCCCTCCTGCGCTCCGTGTCCGTCCGTCTGCCCCCCCCCCGCCTCTTCCTGATGTGACCCCCACAAATCAACCCCGAGCCCTCCCCTTCCTCGAGGTACCGCATCCCCCCCCACAATGCAGAACCTGCCCCCTCCCCGAACTCCGTTCGCCCCCCCCCCCCCCACCAGGCCCCGCCCTGGCACCGGGCCGGGCGCGCGCAGCGGCGGCGGCGCGCGGAGCCGTACGGGGCGTGGCCGTGCGGGGCGGGGCGTGGCCGTGCGGGGAGGGGCGTGGCCGTGCGGGGCGGGGCGGGGCCGGGCGCAGCATGGCGCGGCGGCACTGAGGCAGCGGCGGCCTCCCCGGCCCGGCCTTTGTCTCTCCGGTGTCCCCGGAGCGCAGGAGCCCGCTCGGGGGCTGCGCCCGTCCCGTCCCGCTCCCGCCCCGCAGGTGCGGCGGCAGCGCCGGGGCTCGGTACCGGGCGGGGACGGGAGGGACGGGGAAGGGGGGGGGGTGCTCGGAGGAACTTGGCCGAAGTTCGGCGCCGGAGGGGGGGAGGCCCCCGGTGCCGGGGCGATCCCGGGGCCCGTCCCCGCCGCCCCGGGCTCGGGATGCGGCTGCCCCGGTGCCGCCGCGCCGCGGCCGCCCCCAACTTTCCCCGCTGACGGCGCCCGGGGCCGCGGGCGATGGTGAGGGCCGCCCGCCCGCCCGCCGCCGCCCGCCGCCGGCCCCAGGGCTCCGCCGGCCGCCGCCCCGCCGCCCGTTGAAGCGGCCGGAGCCGCGCCCGCAGCGGCCGGGACGATGCCGCGCTGGGAGGCGGCCGCGCTGCTCGCCGCGCTCGTCGGCGTCTGCGTCTGGACCGACGAGACCGGGAAAGTTATCTCGGACCGGTACGCTGTCTACTGGAACGGGAGCAACCCCAGGTGAGCCGGGGCGGCGGGGCCGGGCTGCAGCGCTGTGGGGTGGGGGGGGGCGGACGGTTCGGGCTTCACTCCCCACCCTCCGGTCGGTGACAGGCGGCCGCCGCCGTCCGTTGCGGGTCCAGCCCCCGCTGTGCTCCGTTAAAACCGGGGGGAGGCCCCCGAGGGGTCGGCGCGGGTCCCGTTGCCCCCTCCGAAAGTTCTCCCAGGGACCCGGTTGGGAGCGGTCCCCGGGGGCTGCGGCAGCGCCGGGAGCATCACCCGCGGTCCCGGGGGCGGCCACGGCTACGGGTGCTCGGGGTTGGGGGAGCGGTGCCGCGGTGGTTGCGGCTCGGACCCCCCCCCCTCCACCCGGCCCCACTGCACCCAACTTCGGGGAAGTTCAAATCTCTTCTCACCCCCCGGTCCCGTCCCAACGGTCCCGTCCCGAGAGGGTGCTGCGGGACAGCCCGGAACGAGGTGAAAGGCAACGGGGAGGGTTTGGAGCAACGGGTTTGGGGGGGGTGAAACGGCAAAACGGGGCGGGGGTGCGGGGCCAGAGCTCGCAGCCGCCGCTCCCCGCTTGGTTTTGAGCTTGGAAAAGAAATGGCTGCGTCGTCGGTTTAGTTCCCTGCTCCGTGTTGGGATTTATTACATGTACTGAGGATTTGGTGTTGGTGTCCCCCATCCCCACCCCAAGCAGTTTTTATTTCTTCCCCCAACGAGAGTTTCATTTCTGTTGCTTTTCTTTGTTCCACATCTTGAAGATCCCCCAAAAAATCCCGTTGGAGAGTTGAAAGTGAGGATGAATTCGTTCTGCTCCTGGCTTAGGTGGCCAGGACCCCCCCAGACTCCCCCCTCAGCTCCCGTCTGTGCTCAGTGCGGGCTTTGACTGGGCTGGGCTTTGGGGATTTGTGTAAACGACAAAAATGACCAAAACCACGTTTTCTCCCCCCAGTTCCTCAAAGCTAAACAGGCCCTGGGGTGTCTGCCCTGAGCTGGGCGCAGGGCGATGCTCAGCTCATTTCAGTGGGTGCTGCTGCCTCCAGCTCTGGACTGTTCCATGCTGTGGTGTGAAGCGTGTTCCGTGGTCACCCATGGGTGCCCGTGCAGTGGGGCCCGGCCCTGGGCCAGGGCAGGTGGGAGTTGGTCCATGGCAATGGGGCTCATCCTCGATGCTCCCTTCTCTCCCACCACATACCCAGCAGTGTTCGGTGACACCATCGCACTTCGTTGAAGTTCCCGGTTGCCTTTTGGGATGCACGTGGGGCCGAGGACGCTGGTGAGTGCCGGTGTCCATGCAGCCACCAATGTCCCATTGGGGGGGGGACCATCCAGGCACCGTTGCCCCCAGTCTGATGCCCCTTGTGCCGCCCCAAAATCGGGGCAAGCCGGTGCCTTTGTGCGCGGCGCTGCCTTCGCGCGGTGCCTTCGCCGCGGGCCGCCTGCGGTGCATATGGATTTTATTATCCCACATTTTTGTGGGGGATTGTAAGAGGCAGGGAATTTTTTTTTTCCCAATTTTTTTTTTTTTTTGCCCATTGCAAAGTTTTTGGTTACAGTTCCTGGTCCTCCCCAGCTCCCACACTTTGGGCTCTCTTTTGTTCTCCCAAATACCAAACATGTGCAAGGGGCTCCCCGGTTAAACTCCAGCATCCCGGCTGCTGGCGATGAGGGCGGCATCACCGAGCCGTGGCTGAGATTGAGCACCCAAAGGTTCCTACAGCACGAAGTAGCCTCTGGTCCTTGGGTGACCGATGGCACGGCACCCGGTGATGGCTTCGGCTCGGCCCCATGAGCTGCCCGTGTCCCATCGCCCCTTGTATGCGCTGAGATGGGCGCTGCAGAGAAAGGCAGCGGGGAATTTCCCTTTGAAAATAGGTAGTGGGTCGTGATTACATGAATCTGGCTTTTTTTCCCTAATTCTGATGTTAGCAGGGAAAATATTTTTGAGGGGAAACTGAAGCAGAGGGAAGGAGCTGTGCGGGGTCGGGGGGATGAGCACACAATGGCTGGTGGGTATCCGCAGCCACGTCGCAGCGCCGGGATGTGACCCATATTTCCCCAACGCTGGAGCACCCGGTGTCGCAGTTGGCCGAGGCGCTCCCTGGGTGCACCTTTGGGTCTCAGGATTCGAGGTGATTTATTGGGTGCTGCAAAGGTTGAAATTGCTGTGGAGTTTCCTCCTTGGTTTCCTTTTTGAACCCAACGGTGATTTGGTTTCTGGCTATGGAGTTAGTAGAAAACTGCCTCGTCCTTAAAAACGAGGAACAAAGTAGAGATGCTTTTTCTGGTCTGTTGTTTTCCTTCTCCTCCCTCCCTTCCCTGAATATTTAATAAGGGAAAATCAAAAAGGATTAAAGAAAAGGGAAGGTGAACCTGCCCGGTGCTTGTGTGAACCCACACACCTGATCTGTTGATAAATATTTCCCGTTGGCTTTCTATTGCAATCTATATTTCATGAAAGGCAGTAATAAATCTCCTGGTCAATATGATTTGCCCAGATTAGAATAATTCCATATTTCATAATTGGGTCTAAATTAAGAAGAAGCGCTACCTCGGGATGCTGCAGTTTGCCTGTTCCGTGGAGATACTGGAGCCACTCGCTCTGGATCCCCAGGTTTCTGTTTCTTTTCTATGTGATTTTGGAAGCCTGCATTTGGAAAAGGGTGGCTGGGGCTGTGCTGGATGGAGCTCCTGCGTTATCCTGGGAATAGCTGAAGGAGGAAGAACACGTCTCTTTATAATGATGCACTGTTTTGATACCCGCAGATAACTGTGGGGTTTGGAGCACGTACAGGCTCGCTAAAGCTGTTTCATTCCCAGGGTGGGATGTGTTGGCAGGGCCAGGGCTGCTCATGGGTGAAGGTTCTGCATGGGATGCTCCTGCAGATGGGACCGGAGGGCACGAGAGCTGGGCAGGGGTCTGGCATTGCAGACAGGGCTCTTCCCTCCATGGGGTTTTGGGGGCTGTGAGGCATGGGAGCTGCCCATAGGGTTCTTGGATGGATTTGCATCTTGGGACCCGCAGCAGGTCAAGCCAGTGTCTGCTGGTGGGACAGCATCGCCCCGGCATGTTGGGGGGCTCCAGCTCCATCCCCCCCTTGCTGCTGTGACCCCCATGCAATAGGATTGGGATGAGTGTCTTGGATGACACTACAATGCAGGAATGAATCAGGGATATGGGAATCCTCCTCAGTACAGAGGGGAAAAGGTGTGCGGGACGGAGCCTCGGAGGGTCCCTGATCCCGGGATTCCCAGCCTGCAGCCTTGGGGCTGCGTCTGGAAACCTCTGGAAGGCCGAGGAAGGACAGAGGATTTGAGATTCGTTTTCGTCCCCTGTTCTACCTACAGCTACGTAATGGGCAGGTTAGAGTAATTCCAGAATGACAGTGTTCCTGCAGCCAAACGCAATTCCCGTATTCGCTCTCTCCAGAGGGGGAAATGTGCAGTATTGGGTATTTTCCTCTGTTTACAGTACAGATACAGACGCTGTAAATGGTCCAGATTTTGCTCGTGGCCTATATTTAACGGAGGTCATTTCTTCGCCTCGGAAGGTTTCTTTTCTGATTATTTTCCTTTACATTTCTTGGTTTGGTGGTGAGCACAGCAGGGGCTCGGTTCTGCTGCTCCGCACTCCCCAATCCCAGCACTGGGAAGCCGGAGGAATGGTTTCTAACAGGGGATTTACTGCAGTTGACGGGAGCTCAGGTGATGCTCAAGGACCGCGGTGGCGGCAGAGCAGGGCTCTTATGGAGGGGCCATGCACAGGGATGGTGGAGCTGGGGTGAAGGGGCCAGGCCGATGGCACCCGCGTGTGATGCCCTTCGAGGGAGCCGGGATAATGCACATTTGGCTTCTCCAGGGGATTTGGTGATGGAGAGGAGCGGTTGAATGGGATGGTTCAGGGATGGCGCTGGATGTGCCCACCCGTGTCTCTGTGCTGGGGCGGGTTTGGTGCCAGGGTGGGTTCCCCAAACCTCCATCTTCTGGCTCTGTCTGGGGCTGCCTGGGCTGGGACCTTTGGGTGTCCCCGCTCCCTTAGGCAGGACGCCCCATTTCCCCCTCGGAACGATGTGTTTTAACTCCAATGCTTGCATGGTTCCCGTATGGGCATCAGGCTGGGGGTACCGGTACCCTACCACGTCCCACGTCCTTGCAATTACTGCTCTTTTAGTTTTCATCTGTTTCATTTTCCCTTTGTGCCGAGATCATTTGCAGCCCTCCCCACCCCTCTTTTCCAGCCCGTTAAGCCGTGTTAGCTATTCTTCACCAGCCCAGGTCTGCAGCGAGCGTGGTTAATGGAGAGCAGATACAAACAGGTCCAGCGTCTCTGACAAGATTTTCTCTCCCTGCCCGTCTCCGTCTCTCTGCCTGTCCCTTTCTAGGGACCGCAATTACATTCCCTGCTGCTTGCACATTTGGTATCCAAATGCCGGCCATGCGCAGCATCCTAATGCGAGGACAGGCTGGGGCCGGTGGGTCAGCCCACAGGTCCCCCTGCGTGTCCCACAGTGGGGAGGCACAAAGAGGATGGGGAGTGAGAAGGGTGCAAAGGGAGAGGGGGTGATGAATGCCTTCTGTTACCATTGGAAAGCTTTAAAAGTGCTTTCATATATGTGTGTGTATGTGCACATGCACACATACACCTTACACATGTTAATAACACAGATGTCCAAACTCTAGCAAGGCTGTAACCACCCCGCTGTTGTACACGTATGTAATGTCTACCTGTGGGCTGAGGGACATGCCTAGCTTTGGTTTCACATGCCTATGAGGGCAGGTCTCAGCATCCCGCCGTCCGTCCCGGTGCATCCCGTGTGCCGATGGCTGTGGCTCCCGGTGTCCGTACCCGCAGCCGGCTGACAAGGTTCATCTGTCGGCTTGGCTGGAAAATTGCAGCAATTGTTCTTTAAATAGCTCCTCGTTCCTGATGGTGGAAATTTCGGTTCTTTTGTGTTAGGTATTAATCATGACTTTGAGAGGCTTCGGGTTTGATCTCGCAGGGATCTTGCCCTGCTCCG